GCCGGCGCAGAAGAGAGAGAGAGATTGTTGTTTGAGAGATTTGTTGTTTGTGTCGCAGAAGTGCGCCGTTTTCTCCACCGTTCCGGCGCACTCTGCGCCGCCGCACCACATAGCTCATAGGGGTTGGCACACCACATAGTGGTTGCCCCTGAGGGTGATCAGCGTTCCATTCTACGAGTGGGACGGCCTCGCGACAGCCAATGGGCAGCAAACCTACCTGGAGAGGGCGGTCGCCCCGCTGTTGGGCTAGTACTGTGCACACTGACTCCCGTAGGGCGGCTCCCGTGGTGTACCTGTGTTAGTCGGCCAGCGCCAGTCCCGTCCCCGTGTTCCGTGTGTTCCTAAAAGTGTAAAAGATGGCGTTTCCGTTTCCTTCTTTCTTTCATTCTGTTCCTCCCCCTGCAGCCTGCTCACGCTGCTCCGTTGGATTTTCTTGTTTTTTCTTGGTAAAATTCTTCATAATCATATGGGTTTATGGCTGTGCATTATTTGACATCAATAATTAAGGAATCGGAGGGTAAGGGCTACCGCTCGAGTAGGGGTTGGCTCCTACCTAGCCCATGAGTAATGAGTGAGGGGAGCTTACTTCCCTTGGACCCCCAGTGTAGTGTGTAGAGGAGGAGGAGCCCCGCAATGTATGGAGATTGGAGTGTTTGGAGTGTGTACATCGAGAGAGCCAAATTACGAGCCACCCTACGTGGATGGAAGGTACATCATAGGCTGCAGATACTCTCTGTGTACACGATGAAACCACTCACCCCAGGGGTCGTGAGTTGCGTTGCTGTAGTAAAGGATCTTCGCACCTAATCGTTATTGTTGCATGTGTGACGGTAGATGTGACGGTCGCTCACACTGTAAGAGGGGCGCTCAGGATTCTGACCCGGACGATGGTGCGCTCAAGATCGCACCGTCTGACGGGGGGGCGCTGGGGATCTTGTGCCTCGGCAGGGGGCGCCACAGATCGCGGCTGGTCAGGTGGGGCGCCGAGGATCTATCTAAGCGCCCCAGCAGGCAGGGGGTTGGCAGATCTTTATGGGAAGGAGCGCGCGCGCGCGCGGCGCGCGCGCGCCGACCCATTCAGCCCCTAGGGGACCAGACTATGGCCACCACTAGCCTCGCCAACCGCTCCGCTAGCGTGTCGAGCGAACCTGACGCGACTTCGGACGGCTACGTGGGCGCCTCGCTGTGCTGGCGTTACGCCCGGATCGGCCTCGTACCTTACCCCCCGGAAGGCAGCGAACGGACGGCAGCGAAACGCCAGCCCTCGCCCCCGGGCCGCGCAGCTGGGCGGGCCCGCGCGGATTTTTGGAGCGTCCGCTTCGCTTCCGGGCCGAGCGCGCGATGGACGTGTGCTCAACGTCGCACTGGGCGGCCCGTGCAACGGCCTCCTCAGATTGGAGCGCGGCGGCAATCAACAACCGCTCTTACCCCGCATGGTGGGCCACCGGGTGGGGCGTAGCAGAGATGCTGGGCGAGCCCGACGCTGGCGGCGAGTGTTCCGATCGCGGCAGCGCATGGGCGCCTTCCCACAACGGCTCGGCAGCGGAGTGGGTCAGGCTGGAGTTTGGAGATGAGCCGTTGCGCATGATTGGCTTGCAGGTGCGCGAGGTGCTGGCTGCGCCGTTCATACTCCGCGTCGAGGTTGAGAGCGAGGAGGCGCAGCGTTGGACAATATGGAATGGGACAGATGAGACGCCGTGTCCCGGCTGGTTTGACCTCAGCTACGACAGCGGCAGTCAGGCCATTGCCGCGGTCTACATCTTCACCCAGGCCGACGGCTTTGAGGAGATTGATGCCGTTTCGTTGGAAGTGCCCATTCCATGCTCGCCCTCGCCGCCGCCCGAGTCACCCTCAACTCCCCTGCCCGCCTTCGCCGTGCTCACCGCGCGGCCGCTGGCCGTCGTGCTTGCGCTAGTCGCCGCGTGGCTCCTCCTCTTTGCATACCTCTGCCTGCGGGTGCGGCGACGGAGCCGATCTGTAGGGCTGCGCGCTGCAAAGGACTTGGAGGGGCCCACACTCC